GGCTACAGAGGCCTGAAGGATCATAGTTGGTAGACGACTGTGGTTAGAAAGACCGTAGTCGATGGACGACAGTGGTTAGAAAGATCGTTGACTAGCGATGGAGATCGAAAGGACCGTACTCGATGGTCGACGCAGGTTGGAAAGATCGTAGCCGGGTCACCTTGGTCGGAATGACCATAGTCGGTGGATGACGGAGGTCGAAATGATCATTATCTGACGATAGAGGTCAGAAGGATCATAGTTGACGAGCGACGGAGGTTAGAAAGACTGTAGTTTGACGACATAGGTTAGAAGGAAATTTGTTTAGCAATGGAGGATGGAAGGACTATAGTCAACAAGTGACATAGGTCGGAAAAATCATAGTTAGGCGATGGAAATCAAAAGGACCGTAGTCAGACAATGGAGGTTAACAGGACCGTAGTCGGTAGGCCATAGAGGTTAAAAAGACTGTATTCGGCTTGGCCGTAATTGGCGGGCTATAGTGATCAAAAAGACCATTATGTGGTGATGGAGGTTAGAAGGATCGTAGTCATCGAATAATAGTGATTAGAAAGACTTTAGTCGACGGCAACAACGGTTAGAAAGACCGTAGTCGAGCAACGGCGGTCGGAAAGATTGTAGTCTGGCAAAGGTGGTTGGAGGACTGTAGTTGGCAGACGACAATTGTCTATGGAAGGTCCAATGATAATCGGTGACCGGGAGTAAGTTCGGTGATAGTCGATGGCCGAGCAGAAGTCTGGCTTTAATTGGTGGCCGGGCCGAAGTCTAACGATAGTCTGGCAATGGTTAGTGGTCCAACGGTGGTGGAGGAGTCTAATGTCAACAGAACTCTAGTTTATCTCTCTTCCATGCTTGGGTCCCCCTTCATGAGGAATGAATGATCTATTTATAGTTTTTTAATAGTGGCATGATCGGTAAATAGGAGGAAGATCAAAGGTATGTTGGGAGCGGTTTGAATGCACGGTCGATATTAATCTCCTTGTTCATGGACTGTTTATCGAGTATTTGAATATCTTAATGATATCTGAATTCAGTGATATTGGGCTTGTTGGAATCGTCTCGTTGAGCCGCTTGATTTGATTATAAGCATGTCACATTTGCAAAAAATTTGGTCATCCAATTTATGGTTTGAACTTTCCATAGGCGCTTTGGGTCTTCGATTTAGACCCATTTGGGCTCGGATTGAATCGAATTTGGTGTCGTTGGATTCATATTTTTGAGACGTTCAATTCGACAGTAAGTTAACGAAAATTGGATTTCAAATGGTCCAAAATTAAATTCAGAAGCTTTGAACTTGATTTTCTCTCAAGATTCGTGTCTGATCATGTTAATTTTTTGATGATATATCGATTTATATTTTTGATATAGAAAATGAATGTACATTTGAAATACTATTAATTGACTGCTGGTAGAGGAGGCTAGTGGTGACAATTAGGGGTGTCAATAAATAATCAAATCCTTAAAATTACCAAAAAATTTGAGTTTAAATTAACCAGTTTAATAAAACTTAACATTTGAGTTTGAGTTTAAAATTCCGACCCATTTAATTAGCAAGTTGGGTTTGGTCCGAACCACAAACCCAATTTATACCAAAAAATATCTCATTTAGTTTTTTTTTCATTAATTTTTTTATTTGTATATATGCACTTTTTATTTTTGCTCAATTAATATAAAATCTATAATAAATAACCTATTAGAAAATATTAACAAAATGTGTTATCAGTCGGTTTTAGATCATTCGAGTTAAAATCGGGTTGGCGTCAATTCCACTCTTTTTGTATTTATTAAATGAGTTTGGTAGGTTCTACCAAAATCAAAATGGATCAATTTCGTGCCGAACTCTAATTCAACCCATTAACCCATTTTGACACCTCTAGAAGTAGCTGAGGACAGTGTTGTTTGCTAGTGGTCGCATGCCTAAACTGATATTGATCTTAAAAATAATAATAATAAATAATACATGTTATTTTTATTATTCTAAAACAATTTCATTTATTTAAAAATAAAAAAGAGAGCTAAACATCTAAATCAAATATATTTTTTCTAAAATAAAAATAAAAAAATCCCAAATTGCCTTTTAGTTAATTATAACCCATTGCCCCCACCATGTTCCAGATGCTCATTTAGTTACTTGTTGACCTTATTATCTTATCCTTAATCAGCTACTAATGATGCCTTTGGATTTTCTAATGGGTATTGTTTATGTTGACGTGAATGTCATTAAGTACTGTATTAAATACAGTTTAGAAGCCGCAGAAGTGAGCTTCTTTATTAGAGTTGTTAATTAATGAACTATTTTCATAAATAATTGAGCGTAAGAGTCAGAGTGTTAGGACAAACACATCAACATCAAATGGTTACTTCAGCTCAACAACTTCAATTAGCTACTGAAGTTGACTGAGATATCAAAACAATCACTAAGTAGTTAATTAGTATTGCATAATTGGGTCTTATAGCCACCAAAATTTTAATCTTTTTAAGGCTGTGTTAGGACCCTTTTTTTTTACAATTTTATTTTATTTGGCCTTTTTTTAAAACTTTTTATTATTATTATAATAAAGAGTTTTCTTACAATTAGATTTATTAGAATGTGATAATTATACAACAACATCAAGCCTGTATCCCACTATGTGGGGTCGGCTACATGAATCCTTTTTCTCCATTGTGTTTTATTAAAAGTCAAATTCTCGTTTAAATCTAATAAAGAAAGGTCATTCTTAATATTTTCTAACCAAGTCTTTTTAGGTCTACCCCTACCTTTCTTAACATAAGTCAAATCTAATACCTCTACTCTCCTAAACGGGTCATCGCAAGGCCGTAGTTTTATGTGACCAAACCATCTAAGGCGACCTTCTCTAATCTTATCTTCTACTGGACAAATTAAATGACATACATTGTACTATATGTTATGGCCACTTTTTATTTAAATGGAGGAAAAAAAGGTTTTTCTTCACTACAATCATTTAAATCCTTCTTTGTTCTTCTATAAGTTTCTACTATTTGCAATGGCTAGTGGAAAGAGCTCAATGGCTCTCATATGAAGTTCTTCCCCATGTCTCGTTGATCCTCGCTTCCCTGAAGTGGCTAATGAAGAAGCCTATCATCATTATAAGTCTATCGGGATCACCCCTTCCAAAATCATAAATCAGGAAGTCATGAACTTCTAGGTACCCAATCTCTTTTTGTCGCACTACCCTTCAATTCATTCTTACTCATGCCTTCCCATTGAACTCTGAACTCCTCTTAGAATTTTTTACTAGCCTTCATATAAACAGTGAGGGCACTGCCCTTTAATCTTATAACAATAGAAGGCCCATAGAGATCACCTATCAATTGCTTAAATTAATTTATAAAGTCAGAAATTTTATGCTATTAAATTTTTTTTGAGAATTTGCATTCATACCATTAAATTCTTATCCATTAATAGCTTTACTGTTTATATCCATGCATGAAAAATGTGTTTTTCATTTTAAATAAGAAATATAAATTAGAAAGTTTATATAAATAAATATATAAGTTTAAATGATAGATAAATAAATATATGACAATTAGAGGTATATATGTAAATTCTCCAAAACTTTTTATATATTGACACTTTTTCAAAAAGAAAATGGTATATATATATATAGTATGAGATTTATGTTTCATTTGGGGCGGCTTTTTTAATGCTTTATAAAGCAGTTTTTAGTTTATATATGTTTCGTTTGGGGCAGCTTTTTTAATGCTTTATAAAGCAGTTTTTAGTAAAAAAATTTATAGTTTAACCAAATTTTGCATTAAAAAAATTGCTTTAGAAAGTAGTAAGAAAATCATATCAAATGAAGGCGCTTCGTTTGGGACAGCATTCTTACTACTTCTTAAAGCAGCTTTTTAGTTTAAAATTTTTAATTTGAGTGATTGGATTTTTATTTAATGAGTTCTAATGTGCTAACATATTTCGATATTTATACTTAGGTACTTATTATTAAAAAAAATTGCATAGTAGCAATAATAATAACACTAAAATTAGCTTCTACTTGAAGCCATGGTTTTTCAGATGAAATTGGCGATGGAGAAGAAGATAGGCTTCTCCTTTACTCTAACCAATAATGGCCACAAAGCTAGCATGGCTTTCCAAATGGGGATGGCGATGGAAAACAAGATAGGCTTGTCCTTTACTCCTTCCAATAATGCCTTCACAGAAGTGGCAAAGGTGAGATATTTTCTTAATTAAAATTAAGCTCAAATTTTACATATATAATGTGCCTAACATCCTCTAATAAATTTGAGCTATAACTTGTTATAGTGAAGGAATTGACAATGGAGCTAATATGATAGAAGGTTGTGGTAGGAACCCATAGACACCAGCGGAAAATCGACCGGCGTGGTTCAATATTTGCTCAACGCATTTACGGCGCTTATTAAACACCAACAATAATAGATGTTACTCTTGTTGTATAAAACACTTTTAACTGAGAGTAGTTTTCTTATTGCTTTCTAAAAAGCTTTATAGTACAATAATTTTTTGAACTAAAAGTTTTTGTACTAAAAAGCTGCTTTAGAAAGTAGTAAGAAAGCTGTCCCAAAGGAAGCCTAAAACTTATGCTGCGTTTTGAGCAGCTTTTTTGTTGTTTTCTAAAATAACTTTCTAGTATAAAAATTTCTTGAATTAGAAAATTTTATGCTAGAAAGTCGTTTTAAGAAGCAGTACGAAAGCTGACTCAAATGAAGTCTTAGGCTACGACCTTCTTTCTGCTTCTGAAAGCAGCTTTCTAATATAAATTTTTCTTATTTTTATACTAAAAAATTGCTTTAAGAAACAGAAAGAAAGCCTTAGGCTTCATTTGGGACAGCTTTCTTTCTGCTTCTTAAAGCAGCTTTCAAGTACAAAAAATTAATTTTTGTTCTAAAAAACTGCTTTAAGAAGCAGTAAGAAAACCGTCTCAAAGGAAGCCTGAATCCAAATGCATCTGGCAATGATGGGCAGACAAAACCACTTTGGATCGATCCCCAACTAAGGAGCAATTTTCACCTTTCCTAACACACACCAACTGCAAACCTTATCACCAATTCCCCAATAAAAAACTCAGCTTCAAACTCATTTTTTACAAATGATCATACGCAAAGCCTGTACTACTCCAAACCTAGAATTATATAAGTTAACTAATTCCATGGCACATGTGACCTACCATGGCAGCTTTAGCTCTCTCTCCTTGATGATTCTAATGGCTAGTGCTCTATTATTTTTCAATACTTACTTCATATAATAAGTCAGTTCTCCTTAATCATGACAACACTGTATTTGTTAGCAAGTCCTGAAGCATCTTTCTGCTCTCACACTTGAAGTTTATTGGCTGGGGAACTGACTTTGGTTTGTCATGCTTATAGATCACAGTAAAATAATATTCTTCTGAGGGTCTTTGAAAAGTATCTTAAAGCACCTTATTGCTTCATCAGATTGGAGTGTGGGGATTGCTATTTGTTTATATTTAAGAGAGCTGAAAGCCTTAATTGTGTGGGACATGCAGAGGAAGAGGCTATTGAGTGCTGGCTTTTTGTTGAAGTTTGTCTTTCTGCTTATTCTTATTGCAAAGAGCCTCAGCTGATAATTAACTCTCATATGTAAGTAAGGATCTGTACTCTCAGGTTTTGCCAGCTTCTCTTTTCATTTTTCTGATGCGTGAGTTTGATTTTCTCTTAGATTCTCTCTTGTTTTTGGCATAGGAAGCTAAAGTTTCTGCAGAAAATATATGTAGCATCTGAAGTCTGTTTCTCCTTTGTTTTTTATTTTTATTTTTTCTGTTCTTCCGATAGTGTATATTGACAGATTGCCTCATGAAGATGCGATCAAAATTATTGTATATTAGAAACTAGATGTAGTTCTTCCAAGTATGTTTGAAAAATTCAAGAAGTTGCTAAACTCCTTAGTTTCTTATGAATTCAAGAGCTTATTTAATGTGGGTGCCAGCTTAGATCTTTGAAGTTTTTATCAGAATTCAATCAATATAAAATTTATGCTTTGTCACTCATTCTTCCAAAAAATATCTTTAGAACTATTTTTTTGGATTTAGTTATGAAAATGAGCTTATGAGCATAGCTCATGGAATGTATTCATGAGTTGCTGATTCATTGTCATCTACATTGACAGTCTTAAGAAGAAACCAAATCTGGAAAATTGGTGAAAAGTGAAGGCTTTTGAGAATATCAGACATCGGCAGCAATAAGTTTGAGCAATCTGAGAAGCAGAAATGGAGAAAATTCTCAAGAATCATGACAAGGAAAGGATGAAGAGAGCAATGATAGAGCAGGAAGAGACCTTCAGGCAGCAGGTAAGCTCTCACTTTGGATGACTTTGGGCAGGTTTGATTGCGCTTTTTACTGTAAAAAAGTTGTCTCAAAGCACTTTGGTATGTGGAGCTGTTTCTGGAGAAATTTGCTTTTAAAAAAGCTGTTTTTAGAATGAAAATTTGAAACTGTTTCATGGGCCAGCTTTCCAACAACTTCTCAACATGTTTAATTATAAAAAGAGAAATGTTTTTGTTAATCACTTATCCTTGAAATTAAGAAGCAAATTTCTTGGCTGTATCAGGTGAATGAGCTCCATCGGCTTTATCGAGTGCAGAAACAGTTGATGAAGGAAATGAAGATCAACAAGCTCAAGAAAGATAAATGGACTCCCAAAAACATGGAAATAGCACCTCGTCGAATGCTCGATCTAGAACTACCAGCAGAAGCTTATATCCAATACAACGATGAAAGAGAAATAGAACTGAGTCTTGCAATTGGAAGCAGCAGTAGGAAGAGAGAAGAGAAATCAAATACTTCAGATTCTGCAGGTAGTTTTTCTTCTTCATCAGCTGAGTCAGGAAGTTTGAAATTATTAGGCCATGACTGGGGAATCTCTAAGGTGCCAGAGATGTATTTGACTTCACACAGAGAGATGAACAATGGCTTTGATGATGAGCATGAGATGAGGCAAGACAGGCTTCAAAAGCCGCCATGGTTTCTTCCATGTTTAAGCCTAACCATGAGTTAGAGCTCTTGTAGCTTGCTGACTTTCCAGTATCTCAACAAGCTTAAATCCTAGCATAATTGGTCATCAACTCATGGATTTTTTTTTTCTCTTAATGTTCTAATCAACCTTATCATATTTATCATGCTATAAAACACCTCTTTCCTTACATAGCAACAATAAAATCATTATTTTTTCTTCAAGAGAAGTTTTCTCGTCTTGTAAAACCTAAAAACAAAAAAGATTTATGCAACTCATCTTAATTTGTTAGTTGTTCGATCAAAATGTCTTCGATTCATTACTTGCATATGCAGAGTTTATGAACTTACAATTTAAAAGTCTAAAGAAAAATCTTACAACATCTTGTTTATGATTAAAATTTATATCAAGACCACATAATTAGTTTTTTTTAGACATTTAGGCCAATTAAGACAAACTCACACACGTCACATACAGAAGACTTGATGAACCCAAGACCTCTTTATTAGCAGCCAAAGTTCCCAACCAACAGACTAAGTAATGGATAAAATCTTCGAAGCGATCATGTTGCCACATTATACATTAAAACTTTAAAAATAGAAGTAAAATTTTATAATATTACTTGTATAGAAAAGGATGAAAAACATTTCATTCAAAGGAACAAAGGTTGAGACCATGCCAAATTTTGTTAGGTAACCATCAACATTATTATTATTTTAGGTTTTATACCAACCGTCCTAAGTTGGCTTTACTATCTTTGAGTCCTAAAATCTTTTTTCTAAAGTGGGAATTAAGAAAGAAAAATTAAATTGTGCATAAGACAAGTAGTTAAAAAACTATAACTTGAGCTTTTAAAAAAAAAATAGCACGTGAAAAAAAAAATTAATATGAATGGATTAGAAAAAAGGAGATAAAAATAGTGATAATAATTAAATAAAAAAAATTTAAATTAGCAGCTTATGAACCATTTAACGTACAAAAAAAAAAAAAAAAAAATTCATTGAAGCATCAATAATTATCAACTCATGATATTGACAATTCATATGATTGGAAATTTCAGAACAAAGTATTTCAGCATTTCTGCAATGCTAATATAATTAAAATCTGTAATGTTCGTGCGATTTTATATTTCTTTGGAGGCTGTGTACAGGGAGAGATTATTCTGTGCGGTATTCGAACACGTTCAGAAGCCAATCTAGATGCTTCACATCGCCTGATGCACTATGCATTGAATGACACAACACGTCTGTATTGACCTCCAGACACATCCAGACACTGCACAATAATTTTTCATGTTAAAGAGTTTGGCTGGCTACCTCTAATTTGAGCTTGAATTTATTTATTTAAATAAGTTCAAATAGTCTGAATATGTTTGTAACTCAATTCATTTATCATAAAGAAAAAATATAATTCAAAGAACTATTATAATAAAACAATGAAAAATAGAAAATTATTAGAAAAATAATATAGAAACAATTAAAACAAGAAAATATTTTAAATTTTCAATAATTTTACAAAAAAATAATTATGTTCTACTATATTTTATATTAATGTTTTAAATAGATTGGCTTATCAACAAATGAGTCAAAACTGATTCAATATGGCTCCCATATTGATAAAGATTAAGGCTTCGTTTGGGACGGCTTTCTTGTTGCTTCTTAAAGCAGCTTTCTAGTTCAATAATTAAAATTTTTGCACTAGAAAGTTGCTTTAAGAAGCAACAAGAAAGCCGTCCCAAACGAAACCTAAAGCTTACCCTACTAGCCCTTGGCTCAAACTTGATTCATTAAATATCAAGGTTAGCTAAAATTTGACTTGTTAGCCCCTTTAGTTCAGCTTATCATTCAAATTTATCAAGCCAAATCTCAACTGATTAGCATCACTTGGAGGAAAAATTATTACGTGCGGGTCTAGATTCGTCCAGAGACCAATAAAAATGCACCACGTTGCCTAAAAAAATATACTGCAAGCGCGAAACCAGATGGGAGAAACGTACAGTATCCGCACAGAATAATAGCTTCACTTGGGGGCAGCATAAGCTGCAGCAGCCTGCACATGTATCTAGGTAGTCTAGACCTAGACTTAAATATAGCGCACTCTTTTTTGTTCCAAAAGCAGAAGGCAATTATATACTTAAGATTTCTGGAGGCTCAAATTCCAGCAGCAGAAATAATGCTTGCTTTCTGGTCCAAAAGTAGCGGCCATATAACCCCCATAGCAGTAACAGCATGAAAGAAATAAATTCCTTTTTTTTAATGTTGGAGTTGCACCTAGTTTCACATTGTTGGAAATAAATAATTACAAAGTTTAGAAAATGAATAGTTTGAGCCATGTGCTGTACGGGAAATTATTGGGTTCGGAGTGCGTAAGCTGACCAGAGCCTAATGAAAATGCGCCACATCACCCTCTATTTGGTACTGAGCAGTACCGAGCTCAGGACTGCTCGGTACTGCTCAGTATTGCTCAGTACCGAGCTCGGTACTGAGCAGTATTGAATAACGTGTCTGCATCTTATTGATCTCTGGACGATAAGTTGTGTACGCTATCCGGACCCAATAATTCCCAGTGCTGTACACACCACATCTGGTAGATGGTCTTCACAGGAAAGCAATATAACTCACAAGATGAGATTTCAAATCTCCAACATGGTTCTAATCTGATCTGGTGAATGCCTCACCAAAGACTTCGGATCAGAGTACCCATTTTTCGGGTCGGCGACAGCTCCATAAATGACTTGATAAGCGGCTGCTAGTGCCCCGGCGACACGAACACGAGCATCGGAACGCAACCGAGGTACCTGCAACTGCTCATATTCTGGAAGGGCGCCTTCAGTCCCAGTCACCAGCCCAAAGAAAGCTCTCAAGCAATCAGAAAGAACCTGCGGTGACATTTCCTCTGTTTCTGCTAAAGGCCCAGCTTCAATGTTGTGATCATTAGAAGATGATATCTTCTGAATGTAGTTGATCTTGCTCAAAAGGCCGCATCTTCTAAGAATGGAGTCTACTTCATTTTCTACAAGAGTTTGAAGATGAGTTTCAATCATTGAAAGCAGATTGCCTATATACTTGGACGCAACTTCATGGCTAATCAATGGCTGCTGAATCGCTGATAGACAATTGATGAGGTATATTTTGGATGACGATTCGTTACTCTTTGGGTTTGCAGCAGGAGCCAGGAAAGGGAGAGTTAGTACCAGACTAAAATGCATGTAATGAAGGATTAATAATTATTTTGATGAAAATTATGCAACATTCATAAGAAGTGATGAGAGAAAAAAAAAGGCTTGGCATTATCATCATGTATTCATTCCTGATTTTGTGTTGAGAGTTGGCTGAGCCTTGCTGAAACTTTCCTCGCAATTTTTTTTTTAAAATTCTGTTTTAACGGTATTATGTTAAGTTTGTCATTTTTTCCTTTATAATCCTTTGACATTAAACTTATCAATCCATCCAATAAGAGCATCTTTTATCATTTGTTGCATATGGACAAACCAAATAGGTCAGTTTTTAATTATTTATTATCTTAAATACTACTCCAACCATGCCTCTAGTATAATTATTCACAATTAATCTTTTTTAAATTTGACACAAATCCATTTTAACATTCTCGTTTTTTTGTCATGCTCAACTTCTCATTCAACAATTTTCTTGTCGCTAGAGATACCCTAGCACTTTCTCTTGGAACTTTATCATATGCTTTCTTTAAATCAATAAATATCATATGAAAAACCTTTTTATTCTCTCTATGCTTCTCCATCAAACATCTCAATAAATGTATAGCTTCCATAGTAGACCTACCCGGCATGAATCCAATTTGATTTTAAGAAACATTAGTATCACGTCGTAACCTATGCTCCATAACTCTCTCCCAAAGTTTTTAAGTATGACACATTAACTTAATTCCTCTATAATTCACACAATATTGTGTGTCACCATTATTCTTAAAAATATAAATCAATACACTCATTCTCCACTCATCTGACATCTTTTTAGTCTTCAAAATAATATTTAAAATTTTAGTGAGCCAAGAAATTCCTTAATTTCCTAAGTATTTCCATACCTTTATTAGAATCACAAGACCTCGACCGCTCCAAGCGTCCCGATGTTCACCTCCCAAACTCCACCTAGACTTCCACAATTTTAACCCCACGCCTGTGCCGTTCCCTCTTCTCCATACAGATGCCCATTCAAACAACCCTCTCCCAGCCTCGATTCACAGCAATCTACCTTGCCGAACCAACCCCGACGTCAAGACCTGATCTCCTCCCGTCTCCCATGTCCATAACCCAACCTAGCTGCAAATCGAGCTGAACACTCTGCTCTAATCTCTGCAGTCGATCCCTCCAACTCCACCTGGCCGAGCTCTAGACTTCCAACAGTCCGATCCCAATCCCACTACTTGCCACCTCCAACCTCCTATATACCCTACTCCAGGTAGTCTGAATCTCCAGCCACAACCCGATTGGGCTCCGTCCGCTTCCCTCTACTACAGCAGTCGAATAGGTCCCTCAGCACTTCTCACGTGAAAACTTTAGTTGTTGCCTCTTCCCAAAGCCCTTAAGTCAAGACACTTTCCCTCCACTAGCAAGGTTTCCTACAGCCCAATATAAGCCTAAAAGCCCACTCAGGAACTCACCAAACAGCCCACTCACCACTTCTTCAATTCAGCCAACACTTTTATAGTAGCCCATCACTATACTACCAAAACAAACCAGCCAACTCAACAAGCCCATTTCAATCCCTGAAAAAATCCGGATAGGCAAGCTTTTCCTTAATCGTTTTACTTCCATTATTGATGTTAGTTACTATTGCTATTTGTGTTATCAGTCATTACCATTAATTTTGTGTATTATTATTATTGCTAGAAGTAAATATAAAGAATTAAAAAAAGAATATATATATATATATATATGTCGCTCAAGTATAATGGTCCAAAACCCCGCTTTCGATGTTCGTGGCGCGTTGGGGGACCACCGTACACGCTCTCGTAGCGTGGTGGGAGGGAACCCGGAGCGAAGCTTGAGGCGAGGCGTGTAGGCCTCTAAGTGCTCCCATGATGAGGACAAAATTAAGTACTCGTGTATGAGCTACAATACCTGCAAAAAAAATTGCAAGTATTTTACACATGTACCTCAAAGACTCATGCGCGCACTTGTAGAGTGGTAGGATTGAAGACTACAGCTACGATGTCACTCGACACCTATCCTACGCGGCTCGTAGAGTAGTAGGGAAAGCCCAGCTCCCGAAATTTCCCCTAAACGGGGGAGATGACAGGAGGTTGTAGAAATTTCAACTAAAAGAGGACCTGGACTCGAACAAAAAGTCAAAAATACTAGGAACTAAACTTGCACATCAGGGAATTAGACTTGAATAAATGCATAAAATGAATCTATAATTCACAAAATGGCAAATAATTAAACACAAATGAATGAACAGGGAACTTATGGTGGACAAAGAACTTGCAAATACAACTCACTCACCAGCAATAATAAAGTTTCATGCAATTGGGTGATTTGAAATGATTGCAATGGACAAACAGACGTGTGATGAATGCAATAACATTTGTGCAATCAATATCAAACATACAAATAAGCACATTGAACTCAGCAAGCAATGAAAATTAAAAGAATGTATAGTTTGATTGCATGCAAATGTACAAAATCCCTAGCAAGTAAATTACCTACAAATGATGATTGTCGATGTGTAGCGTTCACAGAAAGTCCTGCAAGAAGATACAACAATCCTTGCAAACAACGAAGCCTCTCGCAAAAATGCTAAATGCGACATACAATAACCACAAATAAACACCAAGATCCTCTAAGTGATGATGGTTGATATGCAACAACAGCCCATTGGTAGGTAATTACAAAGGATAACGACATGATGATTTACCTAATATCACATACGAAGGATACAACATATAAGCTGACAGACAAATGCACATGCCTGCTGATTAATGACGACAAAAAATAAACTATGAGTATGACCGACAATAGCTAGCTTGCAGGCATATGTTGCGAGCCTTGTGAACGTTGAAAGTGAATAAATAGTGAAGGTGGTAACTTGCTAGCCAATGTGTACGGGGAAATTAGCAGTGTGGCAGCTTTCCTACAGGCAACACTGATCGACTTAAAGGCAAATATAACAGTTTCCGATGAACAACTGAAAGTCAATATGCGAGAGAATGTGTCAACTCACCTGTAAACGATAAAGCTTCTTGCAAACATGCACAAAACAATACACAATGAATGTGAATACCTATTAGAAATGATGAGAGATTCGTCGTATGCACAATGGTGTGCCTATGAGTGATGATTAGTAACAAGTAGCGAATGCTACGATACCCTTGCAATTTACAACTACTCAATGCCAGACAAATCCACTAATCTCCACAAGCAGAGGCGATGGATTCGCAACAAATGCAATAACCTACAAATAATTGTAAAAGACTTGTTAGTGCAAAATAGTCTACCTGCATAAAGCGGCATATAATTATAGTGCAACGCCACGCCACCGGATTTGCAATACTCATACGAGCGGACCGAAGGTGTTTGTAAATGCTAAAGTGAAATCATGCGCACTCGTCAGCAACAGTCACTCGCACAGCTGACCATATCTGAATATTGCAAAAGCACCCCGCCTCATGCATCAAAATGCACGCTAACACATTCACATACATGCATACACCTACAATGTGCAGGATGCATCGTGCAAGCATGTTATTCAATGTGCAAAATATGCCATGCTATGGCAGTGCATTACGTTAGCACACATATACATCATGAAAATATATTATAGACTGTGTTAGTGCAGTAAGCCACTACACTGCATGTCAACATATCATGCAAGACTCAAATATAAATAATTTACAACATCTAAATGTGTCAACATATCATGCAAGACTCAAATATAAATAATTTACAACATCTAAATGCATCAATAAATCAATGCACAAACGCTTCACATAAATGCATAACATGCAGATGTGTCGCATACACCCACTGCATGGGTATTACAATTATATAAATGCATCACGTAAAATGCATATAAAAACATATATCCGCATGGGCCCCAATGAGCATGATGTATGCACATGTGTGACGTCTGAGGATACTACGCGGGTAAAAAAATAAACATAAGTTCGAGCCTGATCCTTCTACATGAATGGATAGGAGTTGACATGGCTCGAACCGATAAAAAAATATACGGTCATGGCGCCGACCAAGATGTTTGTTTTATACATTCATATTAGGCCTTCAATGTCTATTACAAGAAAAAATAAACAACAAAGGCATAAAGCCTTCAATGAACCTGATCCTCTGTCGGTAAGTAAACAGAGTTGACAAGTTCAACCAATAAAATAAAATTGTCTATAAATACCTCGATGATGATTGTATTGATAGAAAATCTCAACTGGAGAGGACCCCAAACATTCGAAAATGCCTCCTAAACTCTCACCAAAATTTGATACTCAAAAGTCACCAAAACTAAATATTTAAAATTGGAATAAAGCACCTAAACATTCAAAGCAAAAAATCCATCAACACTTAGCAATAGTTTATCGAGATGGATAAATCTAAAAAATCACTCTAGCTCACAAAGAGTGAATGTCTGGTCAGGAATATCACTAGGATTTATTTTCAATCTGTCTCTTGCCAGTAAAGATGTGACATGTGTCCTCTAACTGGTTGTTTCGCCGTCAAATGACACCACAAGTAAATGGTTATGACCGGAACCCTCTAAACTAGGTGGTTTTGCCGTCAAATAACACCACCAAATTATGGTCATGGTCAGAGCTCGCATATTCCCTAATAGTTTCAATTTCTTGAGATATGAATCAATAAAATATAATCGATAGGACACAAAACCCTCTACTAGCTAAGATGGATTCAGATTTGTCCCCTTAAGAAAATATTCACCCCAGGTCTACAAGGTACCCTTGGACGAAAAAACTCATGGCTGCCGACAAAGATCCTTTAGTCAGGTTGAGTGGACAACCTCTGATTAAGTAGACCAGGGACCATGATGACCCAGGATGACGGAACCATTGGATCTTGATCAGGTTTATCATACATTCCTCTACCAACCACTTTAAGTGTAAGATGGTGAAATTTTCAATTTTAAATATTAAGTCTCAAAAAACTAAACTCATGCTGCTACTATACACCATATACCATGTATCTCTATGTATTTGTTTAACGACTAAACTTCATCAAAAGTACTCTCTCATTATCGGGAGGGGTAATTAACTATAGGGGTTTGCGCCTATAAGAAACATGAACTCAGATCATAAAGTCCTTGCAAATGATGATGAAATCTCTGTGTAATATCTTATTCAAAACTCAATTTACCTTCTGCAAATTTGCCTCGAAACTTAATTATTAAAACTCTACTAGACGGCCTAAAAATAAAGAAATGGTCCGCAGAAAGGCCGGGCCACGAATTTTCGGAGCCGCATTAAATAACATATCAAATGTGCTATCTCTAATTTAAAAAGTATGGTTAGATCATTTAAGAAAATTACAATGAGTAGGTTCAAGCAAATTACATTGCCAACCTTAAGCTATTAGTGAATATCAAGCAAGGTTAATAAGCTGTTGCTGAAGAAAATGGATGAAAATATATAATTTGAGAATAGTAAGTCTGATGAGGATATCAAATCATCATGGAAAGTTTACCAGCGACATGGCCGCCAATCTACGGCCACGATCGATTCGTTATATTTTTGAGTCGATGTATTTTATTTTCATGCATTTTATTATTTGCTTATGTGTGTTTATTTATTTTCCTGTGTACCCTTTTGTATTATTCAGACAATAGCTCACACACAAAATATTTAACTATCAATAAACATAAAGAAATCATGCAAACAATAATGCAGAGTAACTAACCTGAGATACCGTGGATGCATTCTTGGTCAAAATTGAATCAACTGATAGAGAATCCCTGTTGCTTGGGCCTACTTCAGAATTTGTTCTGCTCTTTCTTGAAAGTGCTCCTTTAGATTTCTGAGTCTCTGCTGCTAGTTCACATATCTGCAGGCATGAACCATTAGGGCAACTAGAAAGTTCTTCAGTGCTTAGGAAACAAAGGTATGACTTAGTCTTTGCATTTTTGTTGCTCAATTACAAATTACAATGCAAGCTCATCAAAACAATATGCAGTACAACTACTTTCTTTATAAAAAAAAAAAAGGCCAGGCAAAATGACTGCCTCATCTGTCAATGTATAAATCTCAATTCCATAACAATCAAGTAAAACTATGGCATTAATTAATTAATAGCAAAGATTTTAAGGCCCTGAAGCTTTTTGAGTTTTTTGGTTGTTATTACCTTGGTTATTTTACAGAATTCTTAATTCTTGGAAGATAATTCTACCTTCTTAAAAGAATATGGCAGAAATTGAGACCCTTAAAGTCAGATGTTTTACGTGAGACCTGCACTCCTAATTACAAAATAAACAAGCCCTTTGTTCCTTTCCAGATCTCATCTAATTTGTTTCCTTAACAACGGGTAACTGTGATTCAGTGCCTCTGTTCAGCTTAGCTCTCTAATCTCTCTGATTTCCAGTTGCTCATTGTTTTGCTGCAACTTTGGTTCAGTTTTCTGCTGGTTCAGATCTCCACTGCTTTGGTTCTCTGTTACCTGCGAGCCTTGAATAATCCTTATCAGGGTCTTCTAGACCGCAGTCTTAGATACTGACTCAATGTAATGGATAGATCAGATTGTAACGTAGGTTTCACCTCTTCTATAAAAATTTGAAATGGGGTAAATAATTTATTACTATCGACTCAATATCCAAATATGAATCCATCGGTGAGTTGAATTTCATTCTTTATGAAAATTTGAAAATTGATGGATTAAGGGGCTGTTTGGTTGTAATACAAAGTGGTGTAAAGTAATCCAAATATAGGATTTTTAAAAATTTTGCTGTTTGGTTGGAATATAAAGTGTAGCAAAGTAAAATGTAATATAAATCATTTTATAGTTCATTTTTGAAATAAATCAAACTCACCCCGTTTTGACCAAGAACCGTTTACACCACAAGCAAGCTCGCTTGACCGCCCGTCGCCACCCGCCCGCCGCCGCCATCCACCACCGGCAACCACTGCAACCACTCCCCACCGTCCACCGCCATCATCGAAGGCCGCCACCGACCACCACCATCGTCGATCGCTACCACCAGCCACCACCATCGACGGTGGCAACCACTTGCCACCTCTGTTGACGACCGCAACCCCTAGCGACCCACTCCCGCCACCGCCACCACAATATTCCCCACCAGTCACCACCATTTTTTAACTTTACACTACATTCACTATTTCAAACCAATATATATATATATATATATATATATATATATATATATATATATT